TATAAAAAAAAAAAAACCAACACATGCTGAAGCCTGATTCTGAAGGCTCTAAGTTAGTGGGTCTGTGTTAAATTAACATTAAGTCCTATGACTCTGTATTTAGATATTTGTAGTAAAAACAAATGTTTTAAAAGCTATGTGTGCTGAGGCACCTGCATGGCTCAGTCGGTTGAGGGTCTGACTCTTGATCCCAGCTCAGGTCTTGATCTCAGGGTCGTGAGTTCAAGCCCCATGTTGGGCTCCACGTTGGGTGTGGAGCCTACTTAAAAAACCAAAACCCAAAAAAACCACAAAAAATAAAAGCTGTGTGCACTGCTAGCGTTGAGGACTACTGCCCTATGCAATATTCACTTAACATTTATACAGACATTCCCACATGCTCCTGAATTTACTTATAAAGAACAGAGAATTTTGACTCTTTCGACTTAAAATAGTCAATGACAAATACAGGTCACTGAATATAAAATATTAATTTCTAACTAGATTTATCCGCATAAGGAATCAATCAATAAACACACATCTAAGAATGGATATCCACTGACCTGGGCATAAGAAGTCAAATCACTCTAGACATTATAATTAATAAGTCATACTAAACATGTACTGAAAGTTAAAATCAGTTTTGGTATTGATTATTTGTAGAGAATGATTCCAATTTGATCTCCCCTATACTGTAATGTTTTCAAGACATTCTCCATTCTTTAGCTTCTCACGTTTTCCAAGATCAGGAGTGAAATCAAATCACTAGTTTACCAGGTTACAGGAAGAAAGCATCAGAGAAGTATTTGGAGAGTCCTTAGGAATGCATTTTAAGGTTCAAAGTTAGACTGCAAACTCTGATAGGAATAAGGAGAGAAGTAAACCTGTGATGACAATCTGATTTGCTTAGACAGCAAATAGTCTCAGGTCATCTCCATGTTACCTACATTTATGTCACCAGCTACTAGTAAAGGTTATAGTGTCACCCACTTATTAAGGTGTTACTTAGAGGTATTTCCTCTCCTATGTGTAAGGAAGGTGACCAAGTATGGGCAAGGGCAAAAAGAACTCCCATTTACTATTATGTGTCAACAAATATTTCATTAAAGCCTCATAACCAACCTGCAAATAGGGATTAACATCCCTATTTAACACAGGATCCCTAACATCCCTATAAGGAAACAGATTGAGAGGCTAAGTGTACTGTCTAAGGCACACAACTGGTCAGTGGAGAAGCTAGATTTCAACCCATATTCTTCTGGTGCCAAACAGACACCCCTGCAAGACAAGCAACTTTGATCAGAAGAGCTGATAAAAGTATAGCAGAAAGAATGACATATAATGCTATCAAATATTAGAACAAAGGAAAAGAGCATTCACTTACCCAGTATATCTTTGTGAGTGTAAAAGCGTGTCTTAAATGGCTTGTATTCATGGATCCGTTTGAAGGTTTCCCCAAAAGGGGCTGGTGGAATTATTTTATTACAAACAGCACAGCAAACAAAGCTTGTGTAATTCGGATTTCTGATCATAATTAAATTTTAGATGTCTTTTACTATGTGCAGTTAAATTACTCTTATGATACAAAAAAAAAGTTTTAAGAAAAAGCTAGAAGTTTAAGAAAGCTGGAAGAGGTTCAAGGTTTTAGGACAATGTTAGAGGCTGGTAACTATGAAATGATTCGCCATCATTAGGTAGTGGTTATGTGCCTAATGGCAAAGAATGGTACTGAAAGCCTTTGCCATGTAAAGTATGGGCACTGGATTTGGGAAGATTTAAGCAGTGGCTCTCCTCCAGATTCTAGCATGAAATTGTTAACTTACTTGGCAACTGTTGCTAGGTAAGACAAGCTTTGCTCATAAAAGCAACTAGAAATAATGACCAAAGGAGCATGTTATAGCCATTCATTTCCCAGATATTCTCTGTATGAGTTTCCTTTTGCTGCTGTAACAAATTACCACACATTTAGTGATTTAAAACAACACAAATTTATTCTCTTGCAATTCTGGAGGTCAGAAATCCAAAATGAGTCTTATGAGGCTAAAATTAAGGTGTTAACAGGGCTGGTTCCTTCTGGAGGATTTAGGGGAGAGTCTTTTCTTGCCTTTTTCATTTTCTAGAGGCCACCAAATTCCCTGGCTCATAGTCTCACATCACATAGCCTTTTCTACCCCTGTGTGCATGGTGACATTGCTTCTTCCTCTGATCTTCAGCCTCCTTCTTACAAGTATCTCTGTGACTGTATCAGGCCCATATGGATAATAAAGGATAATTTTCTCAGCTCAAAATCCCTAACTTGATCATATCTGTAAAGCCCCTTCTGCCATATAAGGTAACATTCACAGGTTTTAGGAATTAGGAACATCTTTGAGGGTGGGGTGGGACAGGGGAATCATTATTCAGCCAACCACACTTTCTTTTCTCTGTTCTTTTCTTTTCTCCCCTTTCTTCCGTCCTTCCTTCCTTCCTTTCTTTTAAATGGTTTATTTAAAGAATTGATTTCTTTTAGGCCAGGTGCTCGCTTCGGCAGCACATATACTAAAATTGGAACGATTTCTTTTAGGCCAGAAAAGGAGAGAACTTAATTTTTTTTCAGGTTATCTATAAATGTGATGTTTCAGTGTCATGGCAATAAAACTGGGAAACATCACAGTATCTTAAGGGAAAAATTCCTTTCCTTTAGTCAGAACTTAAAATTAATAAGCCTGGTTTTTAAAATCACATAGTTAAGTAATTTGTTGTCCTTGTTTTAAAATGGAAAGTCCTGCATCCCAAGAACCTCCTCATGCCTGAAAAACTAGGAAAGATTGGTCACCCTATGGAGGATAAGGCTACAAACCAATAAATAACTTCACTGTTTATTCATGAAATTCTTGAAAACCAATTTATCAATTGAACAGCTTGCTCCTCCGGGAAAATAGCTCTTCTATCAGAACAGATTACTTCCCAGGGCAAAAAGTCACTTCCCGCTTATTAATAGTTTACTTACTGAGACTTGCTTCAAGATCTAACCTATTATGTTACTGAGTTTGGCCAATCTCAACCAGATTCCCACACTGAAAGACCTTCCTTTAACCACTTGAACCCTGACTCCAAAATGCTGTACATCTCATGCCCAGACCATTCCTTTCTTAGACACAACTGACTTTGTCAAAGTGGCATTTTCCCTTAGAGAATAAATGAGAACATCAGTACACAGCCAGGCAGCCTTTGACACTGTGTACACAAAGCCTGTGTTGTAACTTGTAACCACCCTGTAAAAAGTATCATAGTTAGGTTATTTGTTCCTAAAATTCAATGTGATTGTTCCCTCCCATTATTTTTCACAGCTGTGCACCTTGCTGAATCTACTGCATAAGTGGCAACAAATATTTCATTATAGCCTCATAACCAACCTGCAAGATAGGGATTATCTATGAGAGAATAACCCAATGCAATTAGAGTTTTTCTTTGGGGAAAAAAAAGTATATTATACTGAGGTATGATGTTTTTATTTGATTACAACCAAATGTTATCTATTTAAGTTTTTGTAAATTAATGTTACAATGATATTATAAACATAAAATCAAATTTTCTTATGGTTATTTCCCAATAACCAGAAGCAACGACACAATCCTATTTAATATAGGATCCCTAACATCCTTATAAGGAAACAGACTGAGAGACTAAGTGTACTGTCTAAGGCACACAACTGGTCAGTGCAGAAGCTAGATTTTAACACATATTCTTCTGGTGCCAAACAGACACCCCTGAAAGACAAGCAACTTTGATTAGAAAAGCTGATAAAAGTCTATATAGCAGAAATGACACATGTGAATATGTATGTATTCACATACATAGATGTCACATGGCTTAAGGCTGCTCTATGCATTTCACACTGCCCTTCTGTGCTGTGATGGTCTCTTGATAGTTCACCTAACTACTATCTCCCCCCCGCCCCGCCCTGCCCAAATATCAACTTATTTTGTTGAATAATAGAGGAATTCTAAAAGATGATAGTGTGACATTAAATATGTAAGTTAAAAATAGAATTCTAGCTTAACAGCCAAAGTACACAGGGAAACCAAAGGCAAAAAATAATACTTTAAATTAAAAGGCATTTTATACCACCTAAGTGCATTTTAAACTGATGAAGTGTACTATATAGAGAGATGTAACAAAGGAATATTTAGGGCTCAGGAATAAAGATTTGATTTAGTTGCCTATAGATAACTCAATTAGTTAAGCTCTTTAATATCTACAAACAAGACAAAATTGCATTTTCACATATCTTACACAACCACAATAAAGTACTGGAAATTAAAAGCTCACAATATGATGATAAACCCTGCCAATGTAGTTATTGTTACTTGGTAATAATAAATGAAACAAAATTTCATAGGTGAGATTTATTTCTGAGCCCCAATTTCAGGGATTTGGAAAACTGTAAAAATCTACAAAAATGAAACATGTCCAAAATCCTTGTCAGAAAATTCTAAATTATATAAGGTAAGCCCAGGAGAGTAAGAAGACCTTCTTTTCTTATCTGTTGAATAGTTCTGGTTTTAAAATAACCATAAGAAAATTTGGTTTTATGTTTATAGTATCATTGTAACATTAATTTACAAAAACTAAAATAGATAACATTTGGTTGGAATCAAATAAAAACATACCTAGGTATAATATACTTTCTTTTTCAAAGAAAAACTCCAATTGCATTGGATTATTCTCTCATTTACTCATGTTAGTAGTTGAGTGGGACTACCTTATCAAAGGAAATAAAATTCTGGACCAAAAATAGCTGAAATGGAATGCCAAAATATATGAGTCATCTGTGACTCTGTAAAAATTATCTGTCTTGAATGTTGACTGCAGGCTTTATAATAGATTACAATTTTTCTTTCTTTTTTTCATAAATACAGGTTCTGTGCCAGGAAGAAAATGAACATTGCCTTTACAAATAGCAAAACAAAACAAAACCCTCACAACAGTTGCAAATGCACAATTCACCTTAAAATATTAAAAATACCCTACAAATTTGATAGCATTGGGTACTTTTATTATATAGAACTTAATAATTAACAAAATGATTTCCATTTTCCTGGCACTTTGATACGAGGACTTAATAAAAGAACAATATTAAGAAGCTCCCGCTGTGGAGAAAGAATGAGATAAGGACTGCAGCCTCAAGGCCTGGCTGCAACTGCTACCTTCTCTCCTCATCAACATGTTCCAGAACAAGAAGCTGATACTAGGCACTCACAAAGTCTTTCCTTCAAAGATTTCAGAGCCCTTTACGAAGCTCCATCTGCGGTATCCAGCACTATTAATCCCATTTAGATGTTCTCCTCCTCATGTAACTGTGTCCCTCACTATCAATAGCTTCGTATAGGTCCTTTGTATTCTCTTGTGTTGCATGTAGATAACCAATATACGCCACGCAAAGTGAAAGGGTTATCAATCCGAAAGCCATTACAGGTTTGTTCTGCCAAAGAAAAAAAACGATAAATCCTCATTAAGACTAATAATTTGAGAAGACCCAAATATCTGTTGCACTTTCCTCTTGACATACCAAGTCTTTATTACCACACTAGCATTCCTATGGTAATATTTTCCATTATAACAATTTATCCAGTTCCTTATTTAATTAATTCAGCTCCTGATAATTCAGAGATTAGAAAAGACTCTTGCTTCTCCTCTCCAGTCTCTCTCCTGTGTACAGCCTGGATCTCAGGCCTCCACCCTCAGGATGGTGGTGGTTGGGAGAGGGGTGAGGGAAATGAGGCATGAAAATGGGTCTGGTGCTCAGTTTTCACTGTTATCTGGGTGACATGGAGAAGTTGCTTAACTTGCCTGAACCCGAGTTTCCCCACTGACAAACCTCAATTAGTTAATCTTATTAGGAAGTGAGGAGTGAAGTATATATGCTGTTCTTCTTGCCTGACTCCATGGATAACTAGCAAAAAGCCTTTCATTTTCACATCATATATTAAGTGTAGCAAAAATGACAATGTATACATTCTTCTCTGGGAACCTACTCTATAACCTCAAGAAATTTAGTGATTGAGGCAGATACTATGCTGTTATAATAACCTTGATTAACTGCTGAAAAATCCAAGACCCTAAGAGACAAAGTGATGTAACTTTGAAATTGGAAAAAAAAAAATAGGAAAAGATGTTCACAACTCCACAGAAATGTTTTGTCCTGTCTATAGTATAACTCAGATCTTCCTTTTTGTGTGTTCACATTCAACAAATTAACCTTTCTTAAGGTCAGTGTGAGTGCACAGTAGTGATACAAGTTTCAATTAGTATTTTCTGCTTCTGTCACATTTGTTGTATTACTATTTCAAATCTTAATCATCTAAAGAATAAAGGTCAAATTTTTTTACTTGGATGGACACATAAGAAGGGCCACAAGCTCAAAGGGGTTTAAATCTACAAATTTTGAAATGCACTTGGCAATTAAAACAACACATTTGTTCAAAGGTTTTTAAAACATTCTACCTTGACTTAATGATTTGATTGTTAAGTTGACCTATTTAACATTAAAACAGTTTATACTGGCAACTATGTTATCAATATTCTAACCAAATTCAATATATTTACATATATTACATAATATTTGATTTCATTTACATTTATTTTAAAATAAATTTATATTTATTTAAAAATAAAATTGGTCAAATGTATTCAATAATCTGCAACAAGAATATAAATAATTAGCTAACTCTCTTACAATGTATGTTTTAAACTTTTCATAACATTTGCAATATCCCTTAAGTAAGAATATTATAATAAAAGCTGGAAGTGTAGTCTATAAGAATGATCAGATTTTCACTTTGTTTTGTTTCAATGGAAGATCTTATTTACTTAATAGTACCTGATCAACAAATATTTCCTTCAAATTAGTGCAACCATTAAAATAAAATTTTAAATAGGAACTTGAGAAGTTGATCTATTAAAGTACAACTATATTCTGTTAAAGTTCTCAAATACCCTCAAAATAATTAGTTTTATGTGTATATTTACAGAAATAGATAGCATTTAAAATTTTCCTTCCACCTGCTTTTACTCAGAGAGGTCTTATTAGTCAACATAAAATTTTCATGATACAATCAAATGTTACAGGAAAATAAAAACTTTCTATTTCTGATAGCCTAGTTAAACTGAACATAATGTCTTATCCTGGATATATTTCTTACAGGTTTAATGAAGAGCTCTGGATTCACAGCTCGAAATAAAGTTGTTGTGCGGACCCCTCTGAGCCCTGGGTTTCGAAAGTCTTTCTCTTTGGGTGGTTCCTTTTTAAAGCCAGGAGATTCCGGTGCTGAAGACATCTTCTTGATTAATGATGATTTATTACCTAAAAATAAGAGACTTTTTTTTCCTTCATGACCATGTTTTTTTTTTTTTAATAATGTTCTTTAAAAAATCATTCTGTATTCATTCATTTTTTTGAATTCCAGTCCAAATATATACCAAAGTGATTGCCAATTATATTATTATTTTGTATAACATGTACTTTGTAAAAGGTGCTTTAAATTTTGTTTGGCAAAATAGTTATTTTATTTCTCATCTCTTAGAACAAACCAGTGAAGTGGGCAAAAGTTGTTTTCCTACTTTCACAGAAGCCTGGAGAATTGTTCCTTGGTCTGAGTCACACTGTATCTTGTTATATGAAAGGCGTATTGGGGGTAGGAGAGGTTGGGGGTAATCCATATCCTTCTTTATTTCCTCCCACTTTCATTCTTCCTCACCTTCCAACAGCCGAAAATGCCGCTAGCATTCCTCAATTTCTCCCACAGCTTCCCCCCTGGCCCATGCTCCTCAGCGTCTGTTGGCCTACCCCAGCATGAGCACCAAACAGTAAGGGCAAGTAGTTATTTTCACTCCTCATTTGCATGTCAGTGACTTTCTGGGAAGGACTGCTCTGCTATCTTCTCAATCTGAATATCCTTTTTTCCTCTTAATTACTCTAACTCTATCCTATCAAATCCAAATGGGTCTTTTGGCTTCCGGTTCTCCCAGCTGGAGTGTCATTTTGTGAATATTCTCTTCTAGGTATTATTAGGCAAATCTTATTCTTATCATTCCTGCCACCTAATGCTGGGGAGGGATGGGATAGAGTTGGAAGGAAAGAGGTAGGCAAAGAGACCTTCCAAAGGCTGAAATTAATGACAATACTATAAAGTTCTCTGGGGAAATGCTGTAACCCTACCATACAGTAAATGTTACGAAACAAGAGTCAAACATTCACATTTAAACACTCATTGCGGCTTTGTTCATACAAGGACTCTTTAAGTCTTCCATTTTATGGACTTTATAAAAGCAGTATTTCTGTACCTTAATTATGGAGAAAATTAGTTCATTTTTTCTTTTTTTAAAACTATTTTCTTTCTTTTTTTAAAGAAGATTTATTTGAGAGAGAGAAAGAGAGAGAGCATGAGTGGGAGGGGAGGGGCAGAGGGAGAGGGAGAAGCATACTCCCTGCTGAGCAAGGAGCACGATGTGGGGCTCCATCCCAGGACCTGAGCTGAGGGCAGACGCTTAACCAACTGAGCCACCCACACGCCCCAGGAATTGTTTTTTCAAAACTGTTTTTGTTGAAGTGGTTACTTCGTCTATACCACTTAGTTGGATAAACACCTCGTCAGAAACACCTACTTGAAGGAAAAGGATTCTCAATGCTCCCTCTATTTGCCAGGGCTTCTGAAATGTTCACTGTTCCCTGTTCCATCATCCACTGGATGTTATGGCTGTCACTGCTGTCATCATCATCACTTTCTGGCTCCACTCTGACATTAGTTAGCACTCCCATAGCAATTTTTGGATTTGCTAACTCTTGGAAAATAGTTCAACTGCTATCTCTAGCCACAAAGTCCTTAAAATCAAATTAGTTTGGGAGACTAAGAGAGTTACCAATTAAGTACCAGACTATTTCAAACACCATGCTTGGTTTGCAGTCTTCCAAGCTGACCTCAGGGGATTCCACAAGAATCATGCCTGTTTTCTGCCAAAATTTCACTATGTGGATGGCTCTACAGATCACCAGATCTCAGCAATCATTCCAATAGCTAGCTTCATTCAACTTTCTCAGTCTTCTCTTCACTATCTAAATTTAGAAAGAGTTGTTTCAGCAGTGTGCTTACGCTGTGAAAATTATACCCCCAGCTGATGGCTTTAGAATGGCTCATGTAGTTCAATGGGAAAAACTCAACACATGCATGATCCAAGCACAGGAGTGTGTTTAGGCAGAGCGACTGTCTACCAGCAGGAGGATATGGCATTTTGTTCCTTCCATTCTCTTGCCAACATTTCCCAGCTATTCATTAAACAAACCTCTCATCCTTCAGGTATGTGTCCTGGTTTTGTAATCACAGGGGAACAAACAAGCATTTCTGAAGCACTGAGGGTAAACTAACTTGCCAATGACAAGTAGTCTCACCCCTTCCGTCCCAGATGCATTACAGCAGAATAGAACAATCATCAATCTTTACTTCTTTTGCAAAGTCCACCTTTGCCCATGAAGTACATGAGATAGCAACTCATAAAACACAATTCATTAGCATTTCAAACATCATTCAAACAGTAACTAGCAATTGTTTTTTTTTTTTCATTTCTCTCATATGCAAGTTACTCATTTTCTCCACTGGAACACTGGTTTTGTTTTGTTTTTCCACTACAGACAACTTATGAAACCATTCCATAACATGCCTGAAATTTGCTCAGCCAGAATACACTTGCTTGAAACTCATCATGACCAAGGCTGGCAAAAAATCCACTGCTTTCTGCTGACCAAAAGGTTCACCTATGTGCCTGAGTCCTGCACTAACTTTTAAAAAAAATTTTTTTATGTTTATTTATTTTATAAGTAATCTCTACACCTAACATGGGGCTCAAACTTACAACCCCGAGATAAAGAGTTGCCTGCCCTTCTGCCTGAGCCAGCCAGGTGCCCCGTCCTAAACTAACTTCTTAATACCACACAAAAACAGCTGTAATAGGGACCTGGCATTTGCTTCTGCTTTAGGCCAAGAATCCCTTTAACTTCCTTTTCATTTACGGCCTAATCTTTCAATAATGTCGACAATATAGGAGGAGGGATGGTAAATTCCTTTGCTACTCCTCCTTTCTTGTGGCAACAACCTACTCCTATTGCTTTCATTTCCTTCTGTGAAAACTGCTGGCATTTCATCTTTGCCTCTCAGCCATGAGAGCAGGGTAGATGGCATGTACTAATGCATTTAGAATTTAAGTGACAAATGTTGGTCACCAGATGCCTAAGCTAAGTGCCAATGATGTTTCTACTCAAGTTAATAACATGACTGACTGTAACACAGGGAAAGAAAATTCTGAAAGAAGCAATCATTAAAGTGGAAGCAATATTATAGAGAGTAAATCGGCTATGCCCATAAAAAAAAAAAAATGTGAGGCAGGAAATAGTTAACACAATAGCCATGTTAGGACTAAATCACAGCCTGAGTGTACTGCTAATTGAAACTGGGGATATTAGATAAAACTACTAGGAAGGGGGCGCCTGGGTGGCTCAGTTGTTAAGCATCTGCCTTCGGCTCAGGTCATGGTCCCGGGGTCCCGGGGTCCTGGGATTGAGCCCCGCATCGAGCCCCGCATCGGGCTCCCTGCTCAGCGGGGATTCTGCTTCCCTCTGCCTCTGCCTGCCCCTCTGCCTACTTGTGCTGTCAAATAAATAAATAAAATCTTAAAAAAAAAAAATACTAGGAAGGCCTGAAAAAGCAAATACACAAAGGTCAGTCATTTTAACCATAAACTGACAAAATGGCATTTTCCTTCAATTATTGAGAAACTGCTGCATGTAATTAAAACAAAGATATTCAGTAGACTATGGTTTAAAATTGTTTCCTGGGAAGAAAAACAAGGTAACAGGGAAGGTGGGTAAAGAGGACACATACTGTAAAGCACGGAAGGGTCCCCCGATCACAGTTAATCACTCACATTCTGTGTTGATGAAAATGTGCCAAGAATTGGGCACCTGGGTGGTTCAGTGAGTTAAGCGCCTGCCTTCAGCTCAGGTCATGATCCCAGGGTCCTGGGATTGAGCCCCGCATTGGGCTCCCTGCTCTGCAGGAAGCCTGCTTCTCCCTCTCCCACTCCCCCTGCTTGCATTCCCTCTCTCGCTCTGTCAAATAAATAATATCTTAAAAAAAAAAAAAAGAAAATGTGCAAAGAATTGAGGATGGTTAAATCAATCCTTACCTCAAGTCCAAAAACAAGAGAGATTTCACTATTTTAAAATCAAATGGATGCGGGCGCCTGGGTGGCTCAGTTGGTTAAGCGACTGCCTTCGGCTCAGGTCATGATCCTGGAGTCCCTGGATCGAGTCCCGCATCGGGCTCCCTGCTCGGCAGGGAGTCTGCTTCTCCCTCTGACCCTCCCCCCTCTCATGTGCTCTCTCTCATTCTCTCTCTCTCAGATAAATAAATAAAATCTTTAAAATCAAAGGGATGCAAAAAAAAAATTTTTTTAAATCAAATCAAATCAAAGGGATGTGGTGATCTTCAATATCGAAATTCAACCTATATGAAATGTCTGTAAAAACTATGGATTAAGAGTGTTCTAATATGAATTGTAATGACTTAATTTTTTTTGTTTTTTAAGTAGGCTCCAAACCCAGCAGGGAGCCGAAAACAAGGAGCCCAAACCCCAATGTGGGGAGCCCAATCCCCAATGTGGGGAGCCCAATGCAGGGCTTGAACTCACAACCCTGAGATCAAGACCTGAGCTGAGATCAAGAGTCGGACACTTAACCGACTGAGCCACCCGGGCGCCCCTGTAATGACTTTTTTTTTTGCAAGATTCCTTGGTCTCCTCTTTTCCTTAGCAGAACCTATGTTTTCTTTGTAATGAATGAAGGAAGTAAATAACCAAGGCAGTATTTATTATACTGCAATCTCCAGACATCCATATTCACCTTAATAAGACACTATTTATGTTAAACTTTTTACTGGAAATAACAAAGAATACCTGAACTGGAAGCCAACAGAAACGTTTATTAAAGGAACATTTACAAATTAAGGGATTACCTACCACACTATATTTTTAAAAATTTCATATACCACAATTTCCATCATTTGTGATACTTTCTGCAAAGTATATAGGTAACATTTTCCATTATATATCAGTCTTTTATCAGATATGGTATAAGACAGCTCAATTTTATTGCTTTTTTTTTTGAGATTTTATTTATTTATTTGAGAGAGAGAGAGAGTGGGCAGGAGGAGGATCAGACGGAGAGGGACAAGCAGACTCCACACTGAGTGCGGAGCCTGACTCGGGGCTCAGTCCCACGACCCTGAGATCACGACCTGAGCTGAAATCAGGAGTCGGACGCTCAACTGACTGAGCCACCCAGTGGCTCTATTGCTGCTTTTTTTTTTTTTATAAGCCAGTCACTGAAGATGTTATAATAGTTCTCCCCAAAATTGCATGTATTTGCTTATACAATCTATTGAACAAAGAAATTTTAACAACATTCTATACTTTAAAAAAAATATATAGATTACTGAGTACAAAAAAGGTTTAGTAGCCAAAAATTTGTTATATATAACTATAAGAAACAAAACAACATAAAATCTTCTCATGTAGAAAGTTCTTTTGAATCTCTTCACATGCCTAGCCCACAGAGCTATAGACATAGGCTGGAGCAGAAATTCAAGATGTGTTGGTTGGATAAGTAAAGTATATAGAGTGCAAAACCTTAGTTGTTTGTTCACAGATGTGTTCACTGTCAAAACTTTTGGGGAAAACCAATGTCACATCAAAAGTAAACTTTTAATCTAGAAGTAAAAGCTGACTAGCTATTTTCAAGTGCAGAGCTAATGTAAGTTCCATTTTTAAAAGCTGCAGAACTAATCATAAATTCAAAGCACAGCAATAATCTGACATCACCACTCAAATGAACTGTACCTATGACAAAAACATCTATTTAACTTCTAGCACACTTCCTTTAGAATTTCCTGTCCTCCCATCACTTTGACCAACTTCTTCCCTTACTCTTTTGCTTCCCACGACAAGTAACCAGCACTTACTTATTTGCATATGATTTTGACCAATCTCTACTTACAGTAGCTTTCAAGATAGGTTTATTTTTAAACTAGGAAAAAACCTCTCATTTATTGTGTTAAAGGAGGAATCACACAAAACAAACACACACAGAGTCTGGCAGGGATGACGGAAACTTGGCATTGCACTGCTCCAGGCGAAGCAATTTGGTGATCGGTCTGTGTGTGGGCCCACTTGCAATATACTCGATAAATCAGGTATCCAAGGGGCCACCCCTGGCTGGTGCAATCTATCCAGGAGCAGCTAGTTGTATTTCTTCTTCATTTTTCCATCATTCTTGTTCCCTTATTGACAAATGATATGAAACTGTCGTTTATACATTTTTAAAAAATAGAGTAAGATTTTTCATACTTACCTGTAAATAAAAATGATCTAAATTAAGCTGCATTTACTTCATATGTCCCTCCCTGGTAAAAAGTTCACCTTTTTCTTCTGCCCATCCTCTTCTGAAGGAAGTATGTGATGGGAAAAGGAAGCAGCAGAAAGGATGCCTCCTTACGCAGCTTCATGAGGGTCATTCAAACCTCAAAGTGTGAGTGACAATGGTGCCCTCCTGGAATTAATAATGCACAATGTGTGAAGCTATGCAACATAGTCCTAGTCAGTCAGAACTGGTCATTTTTTGATGATTTTCCCTCCTTTACTAAAATTCTTGCTCAGGTGGATGATCCAGAATGTATTTGGCAACTGATATTAAATAATTCACTGGCATGACTATCTATATTATGTTGTACGTGGAAATTAGACAAGATAAAAAGACTAAGTTACTATAGGGAAAAATTTAATCTTCAGATACTCATTTTTGAAATCAGCATCTCAGCAGAAGATGTCAAAACAAAATTATCAGAATTATAGAATGTTAGTGAGAAGGAACCTTAGGAATAATCAAAGCCTTTCTGGGGCACCTGAGTGGCTAGTTGTTAAGCATCTGCCTTCAGCTCGGATCATGATCCCAGGGTCCTGGGATCGAGCCCCACATCAGGCTCTCTGCTCAGCAGGAAGCCTGCTTCTCCCTCTCCCACTCCCCCTGCTTGTGTTC